GAATCTGTTTCAGGGCAGAGATCATAAATTTTGTGTGCCTTGTTCGTACCTCCCATAATTTGTAGATGCAGAATGGTAGTGCCTGGGGCAGGGGGGTCTCTGGTTCTCTTCTGGATGTGGTAGGTAGTGACTTTACATTTCCATGTATTTGGGGGAATGTTCTACTGCTTGGCAGCTTAGAGCATTTTGATCTTTCCACAGTCTTGCACAGTTATCACCGTGTTAAGGATACTGATATTTGGGTCTTTGGTAAGTTTTAAATGCTTAATTCCCTGGTTATTTTGTATTTGTCTTTGTTTGCCGTCCCGGAATGCAAAGGCATTAAAGTAGCTCAACTTTTAAACTCTGTTTGGTTTTAAATTTGAGTGATGTCACTGCTACTCTAGTGGTTAATGGTTCTTAAATTGTCTGCAACTGGTCTGTTTTGCTGATTTAATATCCTGTGTTCTAGCACCTCGTGTGATTTCACAACTTCCGGCCTTTTGGGGCATTTGTACTTTACCTGGGTTCAAGTAGGAAATACCGCTGAGGATAAAGAGAAACTATTTTTCTTCTTACTTCAGGGTTTACAGACCACAAGTCTTGACTCCTTCCAGCTTTTCAGACATGGGTGGTTTTAATGTTTATTTACTTTTGAGAGAGAGAGAGCGCGAGCATAAGCTGGGGAGGGGCAGAGAGAGAGGGAGACACAGAATCTGAAACAGGCTCCAGGCTCTGAGCTGTCAGCACAGAGCCCGATGCGGGGCTTGAACTCATGAATCATGAGATCATGACCTGAGTCGAAGTCAGACGCTCAACCGACTGAGCCACCCAGGCGCCCCTAAATTAGTGTTACTTTAGATTTTTTAAAGTATCTGCACATTTGACTTGTTGATGCTTAAGTTGTTTCATTTTTCCTTGAGATGTAATTCACGTGATATAAAATTTACCGTTTTAAACTGTATTCTTCACTGGTTTTTAGTACATTACTCCACGGTGCATCCGTCACCACTGTCTAATTCTAGAACATGTCCTTCCCCCAAAAAAGAAACCTATCAGCTCTGATTCTCCCCTCCCCCCGTTCCTTGGCAACCACTAATGTACTTTCTGTTTTTATGGATTTGCCTGTTCTAGAACATCTCCTGTAAATGGAACCATATGATATGCAACCTTTTGTATCTGGCTTCCTTTAACCTTAGAGTAGAATGTTTTCAGGGTTCATCGATGTTGCAGCACGTAACAGTACTTTATTCCCCCCCCCCCTTTTTTTTGGCTGCGTGATAGGCTTCGCCACCTTTAAAGTATCCTCATCAATGGATGGACATTGGGTTGTTGATACTTTTTGGCTGTTATGAATGATGCTGTGAGTGTTTTTTGTGTGTGAGCATCTGTTGTCAGTTCTATCAGGTATATGCCTAGATGTAGAATCACCGGGTAGTTGTATGTTTCACTTTTTGAGGAATTGCTGAGCTGTTTTGCACATTAGCTGCACCATTTTCCATTCTCGCCAGCAATACAGGAGGTTCCAGTTCCTTTGCCTTCTTGCCAACACTTGTCTTCTGGGTTTTTTTGTTGTTGTTTTTTTTTCTTATTTTATTGGATCCTGGTGGGTGGGAAGTGGTAGGTCAGTGCGGTTTTGATTTGCATTTTCCCTAAAGGCTAATGATGTTGAACATCTTTACATGTGCTATTGGCCATCTGTGCATCTTCTTTGGGAAAATATCAGTTTGAAGTCTGTTGCTTGTTTTTAAATTAGGCTATTTCTCTTTTTATTGTTGAGCTATAAGGGCTTTTGCATATTCAGGTCATTAGATCCTTGTCAGATATACGATTTGCAGATATTTTCTCCCATTCTGTGGGTCGTCTTTTTTACTCTCTCAGTAGTATCCTTTGACACACAAAAGTTTTTATTTTGATCAAGTTCAGTTTACCGATTATTTTTTATGCTTTTTGTGTCATGTCTAAGAAAGCATTATGTAATTCAGAGTCACACAGATTTTCACCTCTGTTTTCTCTAAGAGTGTTATAGTCTTTGCTCTTTTATTTAAGCTTTTGATCCACTTTGAGTTACTTTTTTGTGCATGTGTGAGGTTGGTGTTCCAAATTCATTCTTTTGTGTGTAGATATTGTTCCTGCAGTGGGCACTTGAAAAGACTGTTTCTTCCCCCAGCCATTGGTCTTGGCATCCTTTGAAAAATCAATTGACCATAAGTCTATGGGTCGCAAAGTCTTCCTTTTAAATGTTTAGCAGATTTACACTATAGAGTAAAACCGTTCCTGGTAAGTGAAGTGTGTCTGTTGCTCAATGCCGCTGTGAGTTTGGGCTTGTTGTCACAGCAAAAGCTGCCTAATTCAGTATTCACAGATTACTGGGAAGTGATTTAGTCTTGTGTTGAGCAACATTTGTTTATCTGAGAACAAATACATAAATGGAAGGTTGAGAACTGATGCTACCTAGTAGCATTTGTTCAAGGGTCTGAGTTACATGATTTAGAATGCCATCGTCAAGTTCAGAACTTCAGAGAATACGTAATGAGGCAGGAAAAATGATCTACCTAAAGGCATACAGCTGGTTAGTAGCACGGCCAGGATTCTGAGCTGAGTTCTGCCTCTGCATTCCTTCTCTGATGTACTTCATAGCCATGAACGTAAGGTGTTGTCTGAGGTCTCAAGAGGCAAAAGTCCAGGCTGATTCTGGCCCCAGTTTAAGAAGCAGGTGGTTTTTCAGTAGATGGCTGTGAAATTATGGTTTAGTATGAATTGCTCTTCTCTGACACTATCAGGGTAGGTGTTTGGCTGATTAAGAAAGTCAGTTGAAACAAGTAACTCTTAAGGAATGGTGCATATGGTTCTTAGCATTTATGTTAACATTTATGCCAGGGGCACCGAAATGTAATAAAGGGGAAACAAGAGTGTAACTAGTCTGTGAGACCAGTACTTGGAAATTGATTATGAAAGATTCTGAACATCTGTTCAATGGAACACTTAACATCCATGTAAAATATTAATACAAATGTATACGTTTTATGAAAAGACATTGAAGTTACATTTTTAAATGGGAAATAACAGTTGAGAAGAACATGAATATTAAGCTGCCGTGTGTGTTTGTGTGTGTGTGTGTGTGTGTGTGTGTGTGTGTGTGTGTGTAGACACATAAAGAAGGTCTGGGTTTCAGTTCAAGATGGCGGTGTAGGAGGATCTTGAACTCCTCTCCTCCCACGGATACCCTGAACCCACAGCTACATATGGAACAGTTTCCTCTGAAAAGTACCCAAAACTAGCTGAGTGACTCCTACACATTAGGTGAATAAAGAAACAACCTACGCTGAAGTGAGATGCAGTCTTGCCATAAATCCCACCCCTGGCACAGTGACCCACAATTGGGAGGGAGCTCACAATCCAGACTTTGCCCCTAGGAGCAATGGTTTGAACCCCACATCCAGCACCCCAACTTTTAAGACCTGCACTTCAGACACAAGCCCCCAGAACATCTAGCTTTGAAAGCCAACAAGGCTTGCATCCGTGAGACCCACAAGGCTGTGGGGAACAGAGAAACAGTTCTTAAAGCAGTCACGTGAGTGGAGTCCCCCAACTCTAGGACTCAGCACAGAAGTAGCCGATTGGAAAAGGTTCAGATTTTCTGTAAAAGAGGCCCATTTGCTAATCATAGAGCACTGACGGGCTGGCATCTAATTTAACACTCATCTGGGGCCCACTCTGTAGTCTGCAAAGACGGAACTGGCAGGTGTTACCTTTGTGCCGTCTCTCTGCCTCCCCCTGCTCACTGGTATCTCCGGAAAAGAAGCTTGAATGCTCATCTGGTGTCCATGTTTTGCAGTCACCACCTAAGGGATTCCTCTAGGTCATGTGGCTCCAGTGACCAGCAAGGCTTACGCTCACAGGCCCCTCATGTTTATTGCAGTATTTACAACAGCCAAGACTTGGAAACAACTTAAGTGTCCATCAGCGAGTGAATGGAAAAAGAAAATGTGTGTATATACAGTGGAATAGTATTCAGCCATAAAAAGAAGGAAGTCTTGCCATTTGCAACAACATGGATGGACCTTGAGGATATTATGCTAAGTGAAATAAGTCAGAGAAAGACACATATCGTATCATCTCCCTTATGTGTGGAATCTATAAACAAAAACAAAAAATGAAGTCCTAGAGAACCGATTGGTGGTTGCCAGAGGTGGTGGGGAGGCGTGTGGGGAGGGAATGGATGAAGGGGTCAAATGGTACAAACTTCCAGTTAGTAAGATAAGTTTTGGGGATGTGATATACAGCATGTACTTCTAGGAAATACCATATGGTACATTTGAAGGTTGCTAAGAGTAACTCCGAAATGTTCTTATCACAAGAAAAAATGTGTGTGTGGTGATGGATGTTAACTAGTCTTGGGGTGATCATTTCACAGTAGATGAAACCATGAAATCATTATCTTGTACACCTGAAAGATTATGTGTCCATTGTATCTCCACTTTTGAAAAAGTAACTTAACATTTTAAAGAGAAAAGACCAAAATACAACAAGTCTGGGAGGATGTGAATCACAATGTTAAATAGTGGGGGGGGGGGGGCACGGAAGCGGGTATGAACAGTGCTTATCAACTTCAGAGAGCTCAGAGAACAGATGATTTTTTATACTCTTTAATTATTTCCTTATTGGTTGAAAGTTTGCCATTGAGCATTTGTTACATTTAAAATAAAGAAGCAAAGGCTGTTTCTGTTTTGAGACGAGCCTCTGAAATGTATAATAAAAAAAAAAAAATCCCTTGTGGAACTTAGGCAGCAGGAGAGAATGCTTTTGGTGGGGCCCCCTTTCCTGCACCTCTGTGACGTGAGCAGGCACCCTGGTGTCACAGTGTGTCCCTAGACACTCCCCCCCCCCCGCCCTGCGCAGTCGCAGAGCCCCTTCTAAATGAGTAGAATGGCGTTTCTCTCTCTGTCTCCGATTTGATTTTTATACGTAAAATGTGATGTCATTGGCGATCGTTTTTTCTTTGTGGTTTGATTTTTCAGGAAGATTTCGATGTGGATCACTTCGTGTCTGACTGCCGGAAGCGCGTGCAGCTGGAGGAACTGAGAGGTGACCTGGAACTCTATTACCGACTCCTCAAAACAGCCATGGTGGAGCTCATCAACAAAGACTACGCGGATTTTGTCAACCTGTCCACAAACTTGGTAAGCCTGAAATCCGCAAGGCCCTCTCATCCATATTTATTCTTCAGAGTGGAGTGTAGATTTCTAAAAGAAAGCTTTCAGAAAGTCGATTCCCCCTGCGCCACCCCCCTCCCCACCAAAAAAAAAAACCTAAAGAGATTACTAAGCTCACGAGTAAAATAACTAAACTGTTTGGTGTGCATTTGTTTGGTTTTAGTGTTTAAATTCATTTCAGGCCGCTCTAGCTTGATTATTTTTTTGAAATCGTTAGTAAAGAAGTCAACAGCAGAGGATAAGAATATCGGAGTCGTTGTTTTTGGTAGTTGCTAAGTGATTACCCTGAAGTCTTACTTGGTTGAGGCTAATTTGCAAGAGCAGATACCAACTATTCTGAAGGAAGTGTTGAATTTACTTTCAGGTGGATGCGTTAGCCAGAGCTAGGTTGAGGGGACGTGGGCCAGTATTGATATTTAGAAGGCGTGGTTTTATAAAAACATAAGAATGATTTGTAGTGAGCATGTCAAGTGTTTGTGAAAGCTGTTTAGAAATGCTTGGGTCATAATATTTGCAGAAAAGTCTCCTTGTTCTTATTTCATTTTGTTTAAAATCTGCCGAAAGTCGGCAGCTCCGTGGGGATTTCAAGAAGCATTAAAATAATGAGGCAGATTTGCTTTTGGGAAATATACCCCTAATATAAATGTTCCAGTGGGATTAGAAACCCAGAAAATTTGATTTCTGTTCTATTTAATTTGGATTTTTCTCAAGGGTTATAATGATGCTTAGGAGAGACATAGCCCATTGGCCTTTCACATCAACTGGCTGGGTATCATAAATTACGGACAGATAGCTGTGCCCCTTCCGTTACAATTTTTCACATTCATTTAAAATGGCATCTAAAGGCAAATTGTTTGAAGGTTTCATTTATTAGGACTTCCCTTGTTTGTATAGTTTCATGTATACCAACAGATTTTTTTCGTATTCTATGAACAACATTGATGGCACAGTAACATTTCCGTTATTTAACTAGTTACTCAGCAAAATACAGTCATACCAAAAAAATAACTTAAGTCTAGTACTGCTTTGATCATTAAAAGATACTTCACTGTTATTCCTGATTGTGATGTGTGTGTGCCAACGTGATTTTGCCTTTAGGTTGGCATGGACAAGGCCCTCAATCAGCTTTCTGTGCCTTTGGGACAGTTACGAGAAGAAGTTCTGGTAAGTCCCTACATAGTATAAAACAAGCTGCTGGAAAGCATGTGGTCCTCGTTTGCCTTCTCCAAGAAGAATTCCTTTCATCTGTCAGCTCGTGGTGCGGTGGTTGTTTTCTCATGGTTTCATGATTATTGTATTTGCCTTCAGAAAAGTTGTAAATGATTTTCTATTTTTGCATGTGGTATTATGACCTAAAAAACATGTTCGATCTGAAGAAGACAGATTCTCAGAGTAGACAGCCTTAAAATGTCAGGGGAGAGGAAGAATATTTCCAAATTCAACTTATTAATGCCACCTGACTCCCATGTAAGTGGTTTCCAGCTTCTGAATGGCTCATTTGAACAGTTCCTAATTTGTAAGTATCCCCTCCCCGCCCAGACAGTAATGTACAGCTATGAAATCCTTCATGTAACCGAAGGATGATATAGATGTAATATCTAATAATGTTTCTCTGAGAAAATCCTTGCTGTGGGAATAGAACTCCCCACTCCCAGACGTTGGGAATGGGAACTCCGCCTGGTGAACAGCGGAGGGGAACTCAGGGCATCACTTCCAACAGAAAACTGTGCCGTCCTGTCCTCCCCCCCCCCCCAGTCTGTGTCAATGCCCTGACTCGCCCCCCCCCCCACCCCCCCGACCCCTCTGTTTGGATGCACTGTTGTGAACTTGGTGCTCTGCACCGTCCTGTCCTGGGTATGTCACCCCTAGCTTGAGTGGCCTCGTGCATCAGCCCATAAGACAGCACCTGGAACCTGAGGAGATACTAGAAGTGGAAGATGATCTAAGGGAAGGCCCGGTGCATGGATAAAGCTGGAAAAAACGTGGAGTCCCAGCAATGTCAGTGCTGAGAAGCCCAGAGGAGGGGTAGGCAGGAAAGAATTCATAGAAGAGGGAAATTTGGAGCCGTGCCTCAAGCTAGCTAATACTCTTCCTTGTTTATGTCTCGTTTGAATGTTACAAAATCTTATTGAGATGCTTTCCCCCGGAAGGGAAGAGTGATTTTTGTGGTCCACTATTGGATTCCACGCCTGCTGCCGCGTGTCTCTCCTGCCTCCTCCTTGGTGTGCCCCTTCCTCCCCCAGCCCCATAGCCGTGGTGTCCCCCGAGCCCAGCCTTCATTTGGCCTTCCGCCCCTCTCTGAAACCCCTCTCCCCAAAGGTAGATTTGCTCTGCTGACTACTGCTCTCGCCTCGCACACAGGTTCCCGTCCTGCCTCGTCCCTGCGAGCACCGTATCCCCTTCCTTTTCCACAGCCGTCTTTATAGCTGCTTTTGTCCTAATGAGCCACAGACCTGACCTTTCTTTCTGGTCCCAACTCAGAGACCAGATCTAAGATTCTAAGAGATTCTAAGATCTTTAACGGATAAGACCGTTTCTGTCTTCGTTGTTGTATCCTCATGTGCTGTCACGACAGCTGACATCTAGTAGGTATTTCATGATGTTTTCTGAGTGAAATAATTCACCTTTCTGTAGAATTTTTGTGATGTGTCCAGTTTATCCAAGCTGTTTCCATGAGCCTTTGTTTTGGCTCTAATTCCTGTCTTCTACTTGGTTTCATTCCTCAGCTTCCGGCCCTCTTTCTCCACCTGTGAGCTCTCCCTTTTCCTGGCCATTCTGTTCTTACTCCTTGATTCCTAATATTTCCAAAACATTTCCTACGATAGGTCAGTGCTTCAACAGTCTCTGGTTCTCCAGAATGTGTGGAATCCCGTCTAAAGCCCTCATCTGAGTGAAGTCCTCCTGAGTCGACCCCTCCCTCATTTCTACTTCTCTCCAAAACGAAGCCAACAGCGCACCCGGGTGCATGGCTGCGACCCTGAGTGTGGACGCGTCTACACCTTCTTACCTCTTGTCTTCTGAAGATCCTCTCTCCGCCCATGCACGGCTTCAGAGCCGGGTTTGAGTCCCACCCCTTTTCCAGACTCTTCTGTACTTTGCTTCAGACTACCTATTCTCCACTCTGACCACCCATGACATTCACTGTATATGTATTATTATTCTTCTGGCCGTTAATATACAGTGCGACCCTGGCTTTATGTCATTTTGCCCCTAAATCATGAGTACCCTCAACAACATTTGTGTCTGATATTTCGTGTTATTGTCAGTGTCTGCATAATACTGGTCTGCAGGTATTAAGTTCTGTGAGGTTGAATTAAATGTATAAACCTGATCATGTTACAGAACAGTTTCTGCAGCGTACTTTGTTTATGCTTTTAAAGAGCCTCAGGTCATCTGTCAGTGAAGGCATTCGGGCAGTGGATGAACGGATGTGTAAGCAAGAGGACATCAGGAAGAAAAAGGTATCCCTTAGTAGATTTCCCACGTTACGTGCCGGTGACGTGTCCCCTCCTCGTGTCCCTTCATGCTTGTCAGTACTATGCAGCTTTGTTTTCAAAGCTCTTTTGCATGTGCATATTTCGCATTATAATGTCACGTTATCTACTTGAAATAGTAAGACGGAATTTTAGAGGTACCCACATGGTCTCAAGGTCCCTCACTTTTTCCAGAACAAGAAATAATAATAACTGATGTCAGTGGAGCACTTGGTGGTTTAACAGCCACGTAAATGTTCTCCACCCCTGTATTCTACTGCAGGTTAGTTGTTCTAGAAAAGGCGGAGTATTGCTGTCTCAGGCTCGGCCATGTTTGTTTCTTTTTTCGTTTCCCTTCTTTAAATACACGTCTGCGTGCACTGCCTTTACTGTTTAGTGGCCCTGGATTTTAATTTTATTTTCTGATTTTTTTCTTTATGCTCTGGTTTTAGCTCTTATTATTGGTTTTTGAATCCCAGTTATCAACATACAGGGTTATATTAGTTTCAGGTGTACAATGTAGTCATTCAGCACTTCCGTACGTCAGCCGGTGCTCATCACAGCAAGGGCACACCTTCATCCTCGACACCTGTTCTTCACAGCCCTGGTTTTATTCATGATCATAAGGATGTCAGGGCAGAGTTGGAATTGGGATTCCAGACTTCTGACTCTATCCAGTGTTTTGTACATGTATTTATTAGCATATTTTATTATTATTATTTTTAGTATTTTTTGAGAGAGGGAGCAAGTGAGGGGGAGAGAGAGAAGTGGGGCTTACCCGAAGTGGGTCTCAAGTTTACCCAAAGCGGGGCTCGTGCTCACCCGATGTGGGGCTCGAACTCATGAACCGTGAGATGCTTAACTGACTGAGCCACCCAGGTGCCCCCTTATTAGCATATTTTCTTAAATCTCACGGGGGAGAAAGAAGCTTATTTTAGAGACTGTCTATTTCTCCTTTACATCTTCTCCCAGCTTTTGTCCGAAGAATTCATGTGGTGTGTTTCTAGACAAGACTGTAAGCTTCATGAAAGCAGACATTTTTCTAGTTTTATTCACTGCTGTCCCCACTGTCTGGAAGAATGTCTAGCTCCCAGGAGGGGTTCTCAGGTACTCTTTGTTTAACGGGTGACTTTGTATTTTTCGTTCTTTTAAGGATAAGAGTTCTTATAACGTCCCTCAACCTCTTGGCAATATTTGTAGCATAAAATGCCTTCAATGAATTGACACTAGGGCATATAGGTGTATCATGTGCATGAAAACCGAGAGGATAAGTACGATCAGAAACTGAAAAGGTGAAGAAAGGGCCATAAGAAAATAAATGGACTGCCCATAGAGAGATTCAGGATGGGAAAAAGAAGAAATAAGAGTACAGAGCGTGAGAAAGCAAAAGTCTAGGGGCTTTTCGTTTGTGTGTGTGTGTGTGTGTTTTTTTTTTTTTACTACTAATTTGCAGTAGAATATTGAAATATGCTTGTTCCAGAAAGCCAAAATTAAGATTTCCATTCTTGGCAATTCAGTGTTTTATAGAAATATTCAAAATATAGGATGCTCTATATATTCAAACTTGACTTTTGGTTTTATATTTTCTGGCACTTAGCATGGAAAACAAGATGATTAAGGTTAAATATTATAATAACTTTTTTTGTTTGCTTAATTTTTATCTTTATAGATGTGCGTGTTGAGGCTTATACAAGTTATTCGATCAGTTGAAAAAATTGAAAAAATCTTAAATTCTCAAAGCTCTAAAGAAACATCTGTACTAGAAGCAAGCAGGTAAGTATTTTTTTTTACTAAATAGCACGTAAATTAATACTTCACATCCAGTTTAAATATTGTTTTGTTTCGTTTTAGTTAGAATTTATTTCTGAATAAGGAGAAAATCCACGTCTGTAGCTTAGCGTTTTCGAACAAAGCTCCGGGAGAGTAGAGTGCATGAAATGGTAAAGTTTATTATACGTCATTTTAAACCCTTTGTGGTCCTAGGCCATATAGTTCCAACACTGGGGGTCAGAGGCAGTGTGCCTCCCGTGGAAAGTTTTTACATTTGGAATCCCCTTCCCTAAAGAGCTAGCAAAATCCTTGTTGATTTTCAAGGTATAGCCTTCATCTTTCTCAGATTTTCTCTAGACCTGCCCAGAGTATTAACCATTGATGTGTTTTGCACCAGCATTATATCGTTAACAGAAACAGTATAGGGCACGTCTAGGTGAAATGCACAAACGAGGAAGAAAAAGCTTCTGAAATCAGAAAAAGATGACCGCTCTCTGTGTTACGCTGCAACTTACCGCCTTCTTAGTGTGAATTTTCAATCAGCCGGGTAGATGAGGGACTCGGAAAATGAGTTGTCAGAGCACGGCGGCACCAGCGGGACGCGCTGTGGAACAGTGGGAAGAACGCAGGCTTGGGGAGCCCGAGTCCAGGTCCTTCGGTGCCCTGTGTCCCCTGGAGTGTAAGGCTGACAGCAACCCCACATGCAAGGTTGTCTCAACCAGTGAGGGACTGTCAGCCATACCTGGCATACACAGGCCCTCCCCCTTAGGAAATCTGGGTTTAACGTGAGCTGTCTTTTTGAAATCACCCTGATAGCTATAACGTTTTTCCACGAGGAATACTGGATCATTGAGGCAGCACCACCCACAGCCAAACTGAATATACCTAGAGTTCAAAGGCTTGGTCCCACCAAAAAGGCACGGGGGATTTCTTAGCTTTAGGAACTAATGTTTTAGATTCGGAAGGGTCCCCAGAGACCCCACGCTCCACATCTCTCGTTATGGAGTAAAGAAAGGAGACATCCCAAAGGAAGGGGGGTCTCGGGTCCTCCGTCTCTGCCTCCTTTCATAATCCAGACGTGAAAATGGGGAGTCGCCGCCTGCCGGGTGTGTTTCTTCGGCCCACTGCTCTTGTGCCCCTGACCCCTTCGTCACTTATCAGAGACCCGTGGAACGTCCGTTCCTATCCGTCTAGTGGAACCGGCTCATCTTCAGCTGCTTTGCTCTGCTGACGGTCCCTCTAGCCGCATCCTCATTCGGCCTCTCTGTTTCTCCGATGCATGCTTTCCAGTTTTCTTTGTTTTTGCCCGTTCCTGCTGTGTTCCTTTGATAGAAATCCCTCAGTGGTTTCTGTTTCTGTAATACTGTTCCTTTGGCAACTCTGCCTTTAATGTAATAGATATTATGCTCTTTCTTGCTCAGAATCACCTTTGAGGCTTTTTTCTTTCCTTTTGAACAGCAGCTTTGAGCTGTAGACAAAGGAAAGCCAGAGCCATGTTGGTGAATAGTAAATAGATCATGCTTCCTAGGCCAGGAGACGTTGAGATAATTGGTAAACAACATGTCCACGCTGGGTTATTCAAGTTAGAGGTTAAGCTTCGGGGTTGGTCACGCTGGGCACTTTCCCTCTACGCTCATTTGGATGCTGCGGAAACAGGGCCGGGTGGATCACTGCTGGTCTGCATATAGCGTTTGTATTTCCTGATGATGTGGGTTTTCCCCTCACTGCCTGCTTGTGCCTCGTCAGATGTGGGATGCCTTAGAAAAGCCCAGCAGGTACTTTCAGTGCCTTTGTGGTTTTCATCTTTCACTATTCAGCTTCCTCTTAAGTGATGTTGATGCTTTATAATGTGTTTGGAGGGAGGGGGAGTACATTTATTACATGTGGTAGCCAATACAAACGCGTGTTTTCTCGGTAGGACCCGGAGCATGTAGATTGCTCTTTCTGCTCTTTGGTACACGCAAATTTAAAGTAAGCTACTTTGAGGTGTTTCATTTATTGCTGCTGGAGGGCCAGTTTTATTTTATTGAAGGGACAACAGTATTTGGTGCCTGAGACGTATTAGAGGTCTTTTGGAAGGAGGGAGAATGAGGCAGGAAGAGAAGAGGAGGATTCATCTATGAATGATGGGAAAGGGCAAGAGAGAGAAGGGGGTTAGAGATGAAGACCTCATGAATGGGAGAGCCTGAGGAATGTGGTGGAAACACACAGTTGCACCCACACTCCCCTGGTCCAGCTCCTGCTGCTCGTGTGGGCCCTGTGGCTGGGGCCAGGCAGCGTCAGTGGCTTGCTTATACGTGACGACCTCCCCACCACACCTAGAACATGCTATGCTTACAGCTTGTAGTGAAAATCCACAGCACGGAAGGTACGTTAGCTTTCACCTTGTGACAAGGGGTCTGTGGGAGAAAACACCCTGAAGAAAAGGTACGACACCGTGGGTGCTAAAGCCTCCCTGTTGCTAATTGGGTGATATCGTCTCTTGGAAGTTAAATAACTCTGGGAACTAAATTTCTGTAACTGTCTCTACTAGCCCACTTTTGACTGGACAGATTTTGGAGAGAATTGCCACAGAATTTAACCAGTTACAGTTTCATGCTGTTCAAAGCAAAGGCATGCCTCTTTTGGACAAAGTAAGACCGGTAAGTGTTGGTTTAGATTTTCACAGTTTGCTGTTTGGGAATTTGCTGAATGATTTTAGTTAAATCTCGTATTGCCCCTGATAATTGTTGCCGTAGAGGACTTTGAAACCAACGTTGAATTTTTTCTTTCAGTTTTTGTTTCTGGGGACCCTGCTTCTCTCATGTCATGTTAGAGAGATTTTGCATAAAGTCACAAGCATATTCTCCAAATTACACGAGTAAAATGAATTCTGAATTTCATGTAACTCGACACATTGTACGAGGTAGTCAGAATTAATTTACCCAAAGCCCTTGGCTGGGTTTAAACACATTTGTCGGATTTACTCTGTAGCTTAAGAAGAAAATAACTTTTTTTGTCATTTCTTAGATGAAGCAAAGATTTACTTGTAAAGAAATCGTGGGGAGAAGAGATATCACTGTTAACTCTCCAGAAAATGTTAATCTTTTAATCTTACGTATATTCTAGTAGAATAGGAGGTCTGTTATATACATATTTGAATTTTTAGCAATTGGTCTACCTGGAACTTTCCTTACAGCTGTTTTTGCTTGCAGCGGATAGCCGGCATTACAGCCATGTTACAGCAGTCACTGGAAGGCCTGCTCTTAGAAGGTCTCCAGACTTCCAACGTTGATATAATACGGCACTGCCTACGGACCTATGCCACAATTGACAAGACACGGGATGCCGAGGCCTTAGTCGGTCAAGTTCTAGTGAAACCCTACGTGGATGAGGTGTGTGCACTCGTTTCTTTGTTCAGACGCTCCTAGAGCATCTACTCGGACTTGGATTCTTCACTGGCTGTGGGGGGATAGATCAGAGATCTTTCTGTACAGTCTCATAGTTACCGCACTCTCAGTTGTAGGAAAAGCTCGGTCCCCCCGTTGGTTACAGTCAGAGTGCCAGGAACCGAGCATGCTCTCCAGTATTCTCTAGTGATGTCATAACCCAGGGATCATCCTGATACCATAGGGGTGAGGGTCTTGCCTAGGGAGAAGGTCCGGATCCGAACATTTGCAGGTCAGTTTTAAGTTGTGTCAATTCTACGTCAGTGAGGTTGTAAAAAAGCATTTTTGCACTGCCAGGGTAGAGGAGTAGAACAGTTAGGCCGATGACCGCTCCGCAGCACGTGCCTGGTGGCGGAGTGTGTGGACAGCCCCGTGAGCTTGGAAAGTCCGCGAGGGAGGTGTCTTCCCAGAATAGATTGGGCCTAAGTGTTGAAAACCATGGGGGAGTCTGCCAGGCCAGGAAGTGGGAAGGAGGGAATGTTCAAAGATGAAGGGCTTTTCTGGGCAGATTAGTACCTTAAACCCGAACTTGGTTGTCCAGGACCCTTCACCTATCGGGGTATAGTTAAGTTACAGGCAGGGAGTATATCCTGCCTTTGAGGAGCCAGAATATAGGTCGTATCATACAAGGTTGCCAACGCTCAACAATTTCCGGCTTAGAAAATGGCAGTTCCGTCTGGTTCAAACCGATAGAGGCCATAAAGCCAGTCCTCAGTGTTTGAAGACCCTCTTGCAGTCACCTGTCAGTGTGAATGTTCTTCCTGTCCCAGTAAGTACAAAGCTTCCAAGCCCTGTGACTTCAGGATGAAAGCCTTCCATTTTTAAAATGGGACAGTGAATCCTGTTGGTAAAAGTGAAATTTAAGGCTTAATTTCAGTAAGCCTCTCAACTTCATTAGGATCACTAAAAATAAATGATCTGCCAGTTCCCTGTGTGTATCCTGTTCTATTTCATGGCTATTTCTGTGGGGATGAAAAAGACTGATTAACTACGTTCTGCTTTATCCGTAAGTGAAAGTAGGGTAGTTCCTAATGTATGCTTTTTTCATTGAGCCGCATCTAATGTGCCAAATTAAGAAAATATTTTAAGTTTCAGTGGCATATTAAAGGGACGATGGCCACGTTTGTATTTTAAGTTTGTGTGCTTGTCCTTTCTTTACCTCTTGACTCTCAACCTTCCCACAAAAAATAAAATAATAAAGTAAAATAAAATGTGTTTTCTTCCATCGTTCTGTCCCAACCCTTTCCCTAATCTGGTGGTGGTCGGCTAGGCCAACGTCAAGGCAGTACGAGCTGTTGTCAGAACACACATATTTTGCTTTCAAGCTCAAGACGGGAAGCAGATGAGTGTGTGTGGTGTTTCGGCTCTAGGCCAGTCTCTGTCACCCAGCCTGTGTCTCCCCCGGGTCAGAGCTGTGTCCCCTAACCCTAGGAGCCGATGTTGAGTGAAGGTGTGCTTTACCTTCTGTTTCGAAGGCATGTCAGCTGGGGAGGAGGGTGGGCAGAGAGGAATTGTGTTTTTAAGGTTTTCTCTGTTCTTTCCTCTGTAGTATATAGTTCATACTTCTCTTTTAGGTGCTTTAAAACAAATGATGCTCCTTTTGATAGGTGATTGTAGAGCAGATTGTTGAGTCTGATCCGAACGGCCTTCAGATCATGTATGATAAGCTCCTGGAGTTTGTTCCTCACCATTGCCGCCTTCTTCGAGAAGTCACAGGAGGGGCCATCTCCAGGTAACTGAAACCGCTGAGCTTCCCGGTCAGCTCAGCTCGGCGATTGCACTTGGTGGCTCCCAGTGCGTACTGCTTACTGGCTGTCTTGTCTGAACTGGGAACGAGTGCGCTTTCCTATTTAATTGTTACCAATGCCATGAGGCGGGTGTTGTTAGCCTCGGTTTCTAGGTAATGGAACTAATAGTAGGAGCTAATCTTGAAGGTTGCATTTCTCTGAATCCAAAACCCCTTTTACCTTCTCTACACTTCTTCCTTAATCGGGTTCGAAATCAAAATTGGTTTCCTTCCATTATTCTGATGTCAATAAATATCAATTCAGCTTTAAATCAACAAGTTGGGGTTTTTTTTTTTTTTTTTAAGTTTAAGGGAGGGAGAGAAGGGGAGAACGAGCAAGCGAGCATGAGCAGAGGCAGAGAGAGAATCCCAAGCAGGCTCCGCTCTGTGCTCTGTCAGAGCAAGCCCCATGCGGGGCTTGAACTCAGGAATTGCGAGATCATGACCTGAGCTGAAACCGAGAGTCTGACGCTTAACTGACTGAGCCACCCAGGCGCCCCTCAGCTTGATTCAATAGGTTTTATGCTAATAGTGATTAAGGTTATCTTCAGTTTCCCCACCATCTTTTACTTAACTTCCATGACTTTCCAGTTCCGCTTCATAAATATCCCATTCCATTTCACCATCGCCCTGGTCCAGGCCTTTGTCATGTTTTCTCTGGAATAACAGGCTCTCCCCTCCTGGCCTCCCTGGTTCCACCTGTCCCTCTTCATTGCAGCCCTTGGCTGTCCTATCTGCCCAGAGCTCTGCCACCTTCGTAAGTCTTTAATGGCTTCTCGTTGCTTATAGAGGAACATCCAGTCTTCTTGGCACAGCCCGTGAGATCCTTGATGCTCTGGTCCTGGTGGTTCTCCACTGTAGACCTTTCTACTGTGGAACTCCACCCCCCACCCCCGCCCCCGCAACACCACCCCATACCACTATGGTCCCTGGCCAAACTGTAGCACTTGACCTCCCCTAACACAACTTGTACAGAAGATCTCTGACTTCACAGCGGTTCAACTTAGGACTTTTTGGCTTTACGATGGTGCAAAAGCGATACGCATTCAGCGGAAACCATATCGCAGACTTCGAATCTGGATCTTTTCCCGGGCTAGCAATACGCAGTAGGATCCCCTCTTGTGATGCCACGCAGAGGCAGTGAGCACAGCTCCCAGGCACCCACGCCATCACGAGGGTCCGCAACCGACACACTGAAACCCTCCATATTCTCACTTTGAGTATAGGCTTCAGCAAGTTGCGTGAGGTGGCCAACACTGTGTTGTAAAATAGGCTTTGTGTTAGGTGATGTTGCCCGCCTGCAGGCTGCTGTGAGCGTTCTGAGCACATTTTAGGTAGGGTGTGCCGAGCTCTGATGTTCAGTAGGTTGTGTGTATTTTCATTTTCAGCTCATGATATACTTACGAGGGGTTTATTGGGATGTAACTCCGTCGTAAGTCAAGGAAGATCTGTACTGGGGGCTTCTGTGGTTTTCCTCGTTGTCTCCTGCGCTTCCCGTTGCCTGTGGCTTTTGGTTAACCTGTCAACTCCATCTGAGCTCCCGCTCAGATACCACTTCCTTCAAGAGACCACTTTCCCCTGATGTTCAGCATTCACCTGTCCTTGGTTCCAGTACATGCTGGCTCTTAACCTCTGTGGAGGGGTCATTCCCAGAGGCTGAGGGTGTGCTTTCCTTCCGCGCTGCCCACACCTTCCTCACCTGTCACCGTGTCTTGAAGATAGCGACTTCCCCGTGTTTGAAAAATGAAAGACTTGGTCTGTTTTCATCGTCAGAAAGGCAGAGGAGGTCTCAGATCTTTATGAAGTAGGCAATCAGTGCATTTGGTCTTGAATTTTTGTTCTTCGGAAAGAAAAGGAATTTTTCTTTGGAAAGAAAAGAAAAAGAAAAACTGTATGCCACCCGACCTTTGAAGTACCCTCTCTGTTCCCACCGCATGATTTCGGCCTGGTTTTGCCGCTTGTGTTTAGTCATCGTGAAGATTTAGTTGGATTTGGATTTGGGGTAAGAATTCAGTAGAAGTCGTGATGTAAAACTAAGGAAGCCGCGATTCCGAAACAAAACAGTCATTAGATTCGACAAGGCCAGTCTTGGTCCTGAAAATGCCGAGTTTCAAAGCTTTGCGAAGGCCTTTGCATAGTTTTCAGCATGGCAGAATTCACGTCGAAGCCTCGGAGGGTTGGGGAATCTAATCCGTGCGTTGGTAGGTCATCATTTGCTTCAGGCACCTTTGTCCTGCTGGCCCTGACCTGCCCTCGCTCGGCTCCGGCCTCCAGGATTCCCCACTCTCGGTGCTTCCCTCGCACGTTCTGTTCTTTTTACTTCGTGTCGCCCTCTGTATATGCCTTTTATATCTGTAGTGGCAGCAGCATGCAGGATGTGTCTTCCAGAGAATGTGGATTCGCTTTTCTCATTAGTCATCTGTTTCAGCTGTTAATCTTGTAGATGTAAGTTTTCTCTTCGGGGCTTTAAGTAGATATTTGCTTTGGGGATGAGGGGATCTTGTCATTTGATATTGCTTATATTCTGTGCATCTGTAGTTTTAAAATTCCCAGTTTTATTCTTCTCTTCTCCAGGTACCTTAATAGAGCTCGTTCTTAGCATGGCTGAAAGTATAGACTGCGAGGTGTGGAATTGGGTATGTGGGAAATAGACATGTTGTTGGCCCTCCCCAGCCCTCCTCCAACCGGCCAGTGATTTCTTACCACTACTTAACTATAGTAAGATTGTTTGGTAGCCCTTGCTGGCCAGTAAGGCCTGGCTTCCTGGATAATCTATTTTTCCTGGCAATTTTTGCTAAGGAGGAAAATTAGGAAAGCTCTTATCTCTGTTTTCATTTTTTTTTTTAATTTTTTAAGTGTTTGTTTATTTTTGAGAGAGTGGGAGGCACAGAATCCGAAGCAGGCTCCAGGCTCTGAGCTGTCAGCACAGCGCCCGACGCAGGGCTCAAACTCACAAACCGCAAGATCATGACCTGAGCCGAAATCAGACGCTAAAGCGACGGAGCCGCCCGGGCGCCCCTTTTTTCTTTATTTTCAGTACCCAATTTCATATCGCAACGTAGCTACAAAACTCCCGGTTTTGCCGAAATAAGATCATATATTGGGGCACCTGGCTGGCTTCAGTCGGAGGAGCGTGCAACTCTTGGTCTTGGGGTCATGAGTTTGAGCCCCTCGTTGGTTGTGAAGATTACCTAAAGACTTAAAAAAAGACCATATATTGAATTGCTGGCCATTGTTAAAGAAAGTTATCTTAAAACTGAGCATTCAGTGAGATGGTATTTACCTAGGAGTTATTTTTGTGTCTTTAAGTGCAAGAGAAAACTTGAGCAATCTGCCTTACTTATTTACTTATATATTTAAGCCCTACTATCACAGCACTTCCTGTATGCTAGGCACAAGCCTAAATGCTTTACAAATATTAACCTATTTGAAGATGCTCTGATCTTCATCCTATCATCTCAATTTAAAGATGAAGAAAACAAAACAGAGGGTAAAAGGCCCACCATTTGAACCCAGGTACTCTGGCTCCTGAGTGAATGCTTTCGTCTCAGTGTTGCCTCTCATCTGAGTCTGAATGAGAAATCCAGAGTCTAGACTTTTGCTAAAAAAAAAAAAAAAAAAAAAAAAAAGGTGAAATAAAGCATGGATACACAAAAAAACACGACTGTAACAAGTTTTTTTGCATCAGGGTTTGGAATCAAGATTTTACATGGAATAGTCATAGAATTTGAGAACTGAAGGTAATCTTAGAGATAGCTTAATCTTCACGAAGCTGTTAGTAACTGGCAAATTCGCATGATTTACAGGGCTTTAGAGCTTAGGGGTATTAAGATTCAATGCAAAGAGGGGCGCCTGGGTGGCTCAGTTAAGTGTCTGACTTCAGCACAGGTCATGATCTCGTACTTTGTGGGTCCAAGCCCATGTCAGGCTCTGTGCTGACAGCTCAGAGCCTGGAGCCTGCTTTGGATTCCGTGTCTCCCTCGCTCTCTCTCTCTGCGCCCCCCCACTCAT